ATATAGTTAATTAATTAATTAATTAAATTAGCCAGGCATGGTGGCACATGCCTGTAGTCCAGCTGCTCGGGAGGCTGAGGCAGGAGGATTGCTTGAGCCCAGGAGTTTGAGATTGCTGTGAGCTAGGCTGACACCATGGCATTCTAGCTAGCCCAGGCAACAGAGTGAGACTGTCTCAAGAAAAAAAAAAAAAAAGTAATGTCTCTTTGCCTTAGAAAATTGCCAAAGATCAGTAAGCCATCTTACCAGTGTTCTGCATATCAGCAGGCTGAAATAGAAAATGCAGAAAGCTTTTAGATAGAATTAAATCTTGGTAGAATTTTGGTTAAGAGAATTTTACTATGTGTGAGATAGGATTTTAAAACACAACTTCCACCTATTATTTAAGATGATGGCCATAAACTTCTGCAGTAATTGTTTGCTTTTGCCAAAGTCAACAAAGTTATCTTGTTTCTGAAAAGGTAACCGAAATCAAAGTAATTTCTTAAGGGTTTCTGATAATACCAATGTGGAATACATATTGTTTCTTTGCATATATAATACTCCAAACACACTATCTTTCCATTTATGTGTTCAACTAAAAATATTTGTTGAGTACCAAGTATGTGGCAGGCACAGTGCAAAGTACTAGAGAAATAAATAGGTTTGGATTGTTCTGTGGCAAAATATAGAAAATCTGAATTTAAATTAAATTAATTTAATTTAAAATTTAGCTCTTTCATCGTCCAAGTCACATTTCAAGTGCTAAGTAGCTATATGTGGCTAGTAGTTACCATATTGAACAGTGCAGGTGTAGAATATTTTCATCATCACAGAAAGTTCTGTTGGATAAGGTTCATAATAGATTAGGAATCATTTAGTTTCAAGTTTATATTTCACAATAACCCAGTTAAGAACTTGAGTACATGAAGGCTTTTTATTAAGAAAAAAAAAAAAAAGAACTTGAGTACAGTGACACACAAATAGTTTTCCCATGGGTCATTGGCATTTAGTATATAATATGCTTAAACATTTATGAGATTCTATTGTCTTGAAAACCTAGTACCAACATATGACTGTACTAGCCACATAATACTGGAGTCAGATTTTGAAAATCTCACCAACATTTGAATTTTATTCAAGTGTAATATGTGTTCAGGTGTCAGTGTTCAAAGATATTAGCCTAACCAAATATTGGGTCATGGTCAATACGCTGAAACTTCCAACTCAGGTGGGCCTGCCAGAGCCCATGGATCCTGACGCCATAAATCAGCAATTTAGTATGCATGATACACAACAGTTAGGCCAGTCACTGCAATTAGTAGTTGCCAAATCACCATGAGACCTTCAGCAATTCAACAAACTTCTCAGTTTTAGTTTCTTTTCTGTAAAATAAGGATATTCAGATTGTCAGCTATCAAGTAGAATCTTGAGAAAATACTCCAGGGTTCTTGGTAGATAAATAAGCTTGATGTAAGTTCCCTTGTCTTCCAAATCTCCAAAT